CAGAGCACCTTCCCCCTGGGGGTCAGTGCACATCATAGCAACTGGTCGAATGGGTTGAACGAATGGTTGGACACTTAGCATATTAGGCTTTTATTATATAGGATGTTTTTTTGTTTTTAGTCCTCACCTGTGGAAATTTTCCCATTGATTTTCAGAGAGAGCAGAAGAGAGGGAAAGACGGAGAGAAACATTGATGTGAGAGAGACACATCGATTAACTGCCTCCTGCACCCACCCCTACCAGGGCCCAGGCCGGACCCTTTGGTCCGTAGGCCGACGCTCTATCCACTGAGCCAAACCGGCTAAGTCTTGTTTTTGTTTGTATTTTTAAAAGTGTATTTTTATTGATTTCAGAGAGGAAGGGAGAGGGAGAGAGAGACACAGAAACATCCATAATGAGACAGAATCATGGATCGGCTTCCTCATGCACCCCCCACACTGGGGATCGAGCCCGCAACCCGGGCATGTGCCCTTGACCGGGAATCAAACCTGGGACCCTTCCGTCCGCAGGCCGATGCTCTATCCACTGAGCAACACCGGCCAGGGCCCCTCTTCCTTTGGGTGTGAGTGTCCCTCCGGGGGTAGGATGTCCCGCTGGCCGCGAGCATGGCCAGAGGAGGCCAGGGCCCCGCCTGCCGGGTCAGCCTGGCTCCCCGTATGACCTTGAGCTCCTCTCCAGAAAGGTGTGTTCCGGCTCAACAACCAGGACTACTTCATCGAGCCCCTGCAAGGGGCCCAGGCCCAGCCCGGGAGTGCCCTGCCCCACGTGGTGTACCAGCGCCCAGCTTCCCAGGGGCAGGCAGAGCAAGGCCCCTGCGGGGTGCAAGGTAGGCTCCTGCGCCCCCACCTTCGGGGCGGGGGCTGTGTGCGCGGGGCATTGAGGTCCTTTTTTTGTATCCATTTATTTATTTATTAATATGCTAGAGGCCCTGAAATTCGTGCACTCAGGGAGGGGGGGGGTCCCTCAGCCTGCATTGCAAGAGGGCTCAGGCCAGGCCGAGGGACCCCGCCGGTGCACGATCAGGGCCGGGGAGGAGCGCAGGAGGTTGGCCAGCC